ATGCTGCAATCCTATACATATTTTCCTGGAGAATAAGTCTAACTGAAATTAATGTAGCTTACTTCAGAGCAGGTGTGTATCAGATTGCACCAAGCTTTAAATACGTTTACCAAAATGATGCCACCATGCCCAAAATGCACATTAATTTAATTGCAAGTGTGAAGATTGCAATGAACACATTTGAGCAAGGGATGCTGTCAATTCTCCTTTCCCCTGGAAGCACCCTTTTTACCCCTTCAGGCAATTATCACAATAATGGTCAAAAGAAATATACAACTATATCACTTATTTTCCTAACTTCACTTTCTCATCCATCAAGACATACCAAAAACCCACACAAGATACGGCAGCAACTCAGTTAAATAAATTTTGAATCAGTGTACATTTCATTCAACGGGTGGAATTGGCATTCCTGCATCAAGAAGAGATGATGCAGGAATGAGTGTCATTGCAGGCATCATCTCAGAGGAAACACCCTTCCTGTGTAGGAGAGGACGGAGAACACCTCTTTTGGAACTTAATCCAGACAAAATGAACATGCTGTGGACTGTGAAATCTGCAAATCTGGATGGTGGTACACAGCTGGTAGTGGATGGCATTGCACTCTACCTAAAGGTCCAAGTACCAGAGTTTGGCCTATAGGTTAGCTGTTCACTTCTGGGGTGAATTTAAGGTTCTGCTATGCTATTAACCTTTTAAATGCCTAAACGGTTTGGGACCAGGCTATCTCAAGGACTACCTGCATCCATGTGTCCTTGCCTGAGCTATAAGATCAGCCTGTGAAGTCCTGTTCTCCAATACATGGCAAAAGTTCTTAGGTTTCTGGGTACCCAGGACAGGATAAACCCTTTTCTGTTGTGGTCCTGTATCCTTGGAATAGCCTCCTCATGGAAATACATATGGCCTCATCTCTCTTGGCCTTTATGAAAGCAGGTCTACATTTGGCTGTTTCTATGGTTCCTTTACGTAAGAACTGTTCGTTTCATCTCTTGCTGCTATTTTTGTTCTGTCACTTATGGCTATCTTTGAAATGTTAATGCTGTAGTGTCTTAATATTGTGTGTAATTCACCTTAGGAGAGTAGACACCCTAAAAGCCAAGGTTAAAAAAACCCTATTTAAATAATAATAAAAAGAAACAGAATGCTTCTTTTGAGATGGTGCTTGCCATCTGCAATATATAATATAATCTGTTGCATGATTGATTGAGGGCACAATTTTTAGTCAATTAAAAGTATTTTAATTGATTACTCTAGCTGTTCAATTAACCACTGCATCCCTCATACATACACCCTCCATTATAACACTAGGCTTGATATCCATCACTATGTGATATCAAATTTCCTTTGTACCATTATTTCTTCAGTGGGACATGAAAGCTCATCAATACTACAAGAGAGACTTAACAGGTCACAAACATTCAGTACAAAGGAGCCACAGTGAGTTGCTTGCAAATTAAGAATGAGTCCAGAGACTAGCAAACTGAAAGTATATTGCCTCTCTCATTTTTCTTTTCTTATTTCAGCACATCTGAATAGGGCATGTTGTGAACATAGCAGTCCAAGCATTCTAAAAGCTAAATCCTGCCAATAATCACTTCTGGGATGTGAATGAATAGTGGGGTCCATAAGGGAGCTTCTCACCATCCTCTACCATAGGTAGTAACTGCTAAACTCTTCTCCTCATGCCCACCCCTTACTGATTTACAGTAAATAAATAATCCTGCTATGGAACAGGAAACAGTTCAATATTGCCCATCAGTGCTGTGTGCATCACCTTTTGTTAGGTGGGGCAAGCAAGGATATATTTCATGCTGGGATGCTTAAAATCATGAAAACACAATTTCTGCTTCTTTGCCTAAGCCCAGCTAAAATTTCCACACTGCATTTTGTTTCTAAGACACCGTGCTTAGGAAGAAGCATCATTTACTGAGTGTATGCCTACCTCTAAGCATCTCAGACCAACATAAAACTAAACTTTTTTTAATTAAAAAAAACAGGTTTTGTTTTTTTAATAAATGGCAATGCCTTCTGATGACACTTCCAAGTTGAATAGAAACATGACCAAACATAACAAACCAAGCTTCTGATATTGGCATCATTTCTGTGTTAGAAATTACCCGTTCACACCATCATTTTTGAAGCAGATGTGTCTATTACTTCATGCTAATCGGATACAAATTGTGGCCTCCCAGAATTTACACAAATAGTCAAAAAGATGCATGTTTCCTCCATGTAATTTCATCCATCAAAGGGATATCAGATCTAGGAAACCTATCGTGTGTAAAGCAACCTTATAAGTAAGACCAAGCTGCACATCCAATTTTTAACCAAGGTTGGAAGAAAATGTTGATAGCAGGAGCGGGGAATGTTTGTAATTGATTCAAAGCATTGGGTTGTAGCCAATGGATTGGTACCGTTCTTGCAATGACTTGCACCTGCACAACAAGACTTCATCTTCCTCCCCCCACCTGCTTTGGTGCAAGGCTGCTGATACCTTTAAGAATTCTTCTTAAAACAAATGCATGGTATTTTTTTTTCCAATGTGGTGCCCTCAATATGCTTTTGGACTCCACTTGGCACCTTCTCTGGCTGCAACATCTGGAGGGCACCAGAGTGGCTACCCCCTCTTCTAGGGATTATGATAAGGCACATAAAAAAATTTCTTTTCTGGAGTTGCATCACGTTTGGAAGTAGCCCATGAACTGTCCTCTTCCTAGGGCATATTTACACTACAGAGTCCCTTAGACCAGTTTAATAGGAATTCCTTCTCTCTAGGGAATTGTAGGACCCATAGTTCTGGAGGGAGGGCACTGGGAATCTCTCAGACAGAATTTGCAGCATCCTCAAGAAATTATGTATTTTGGATGGTTTGGGCAGGCTGTAACAATTTTACTGATATGACACCTATGGGTTATCTCCAATGAAGTTGCCCAGTTAGTATAAAGAGAGTCAGAAGAGCAATGGGACTTCCTTCCCCCTCTGCCAAAAAAAACCCAACAAACCTGTTCTGGGGTTTCCCCTCAACCCTCTGGAGCAGATCTGAAGTTGTGCTGAAAGAGAGGGAGGAGATGTTCCACTGCTCAAGCAGCAACACTTGCACCAATGGACAATTTTATTGGATGCAATCCAATATAAATTTTGGCTATACCCTATCTGCAGATCTTTTTGAACAGTCAGGATTTGTCTAGTTTTCCCCAATCTTTAAAACAAATGGGTCATTCACTAGTTGCCTGTTTACACTGGGCAAATCCATCTGCCTTTCCTTTCAGGGCTGTCCACAACCATTTAGTAACATCGCTGAGCATTGTGTGTTCAGTATATCTTGTAGAAGACCCAGGCCATATGGGTGGCTTTTTATTTAGCTGGATAACTCCCCCTTTATTGAGCAGATTTCTTCAGGAGCAAATAGTGATCAGTGAGACAGACCCCTTTCCCTGTTGCAGCAACTGAAGAAAATTTAATAAGACCTGAAAACTACAAGCTTATCAACCGTTCTTTTAAAGGCTAAGAGCTATACCATTTTGTACAGCTTCAGAATAAAGCATCATTAAAGACATAATACAGTACTTGATGGCTGTTTTTCCACAACAAAATGAAAAGCTGATCAGAAACGTTTTTGCAACACTTGCCTGAAAAATCAAAACACAAAGACCAAACAAAAAGAGACAATGATTAGAAGTCTACACAAATACCTATGCACTAGCAGCTACAGAAGCAGTTTAGCAGTATAATCCTACACGTTTACTTAAAAGTAGGTTCCATTGAATTCAATGAGGCATACTTCCAGGTAAGTGAGTACAGGATCACAGCCTAAATGTTACACCATGAATCTGGCAATTATCTTTTTAAAATAAAATCCACAGGGTTGGGGTTTTCCCCCCTTGTTTCTTCATAAAAATAGATTTTACAATGAGACCTTCCTTACAGGATAAACGTATTTTTAAAATTGATATTCCTTTAGATATGCCTTCCAATATTGCCCTTCAAAGGAGGACAACTTGTTTTACAAATGCATAAAAATATAGAGAGTTTATTAGGAGAGGCTGTAAAGGATGCAAGATTTGGGAATATGCTACTGCAACCATCAACAACACAGCAACGTACAACCTTGTGGTGGGCTAGTTTTAACAGATAGCAGCTCTGGAATACAGAGGAATTTAAACAATGCAACTTTGGCTGAAGGAAGGGACCATCACAAAATCTAGAATGTGTTGGGGTGGAAGGTTAAGACCCACTGAGCCATTAAAAAAAAAAGATTCAAAACACTGTTATGAAGAATAATGAGACACAGATAAAGTGGTTGTAACTGCATATGCAGTTGTGACTAATCTACAACACACACACACACACACACATTCCCCATATCCTTGGGTTCTTTTGTGTGCACTCTTGGCTGTGCAGCAATTCTGGATAATGATTTATATCCACAATGCAAAATTGGACCATTCACTTTTTACTGGGTGAAAGAAAGCTTTGCACCTGAATTCTCTCACACACCCTCTGATTATATAAGCTAAGCTGGTCTAATTTTTTTTACTTTTATTTTTATATATACATAAAGTGGTGTAACTTAGCATACCATGCTTTGCTAAAAGCAGTTTATCTTTTATAAGATTAGTCAATACAAAGGATTTCCAATGTATTCCAGTGCAGGAGGAGGTAGCCTGTTCTAAAGCAATCCCTTCTAGGCAAATAAGAAATAAAATAGAAAAAAATCCAAAGTGGAACTTGGAAGTAAATGAACCCAGCCATAAAAGGATGTGAAGAGCTCAGTAGCTGTGTCAGCTATTCAAGTAACACTGCAGGATTCAGTTGTGTCGGGAGAAAACCAACTTGTTGCCACTAATATGTAGAGCACTGTTAACAATAAAAACTGCCTAGCAACTTAGCAATACACATAACAAAACAAAACAGGAGCAATGGAGGCAATATGAGGTCAACTGTATAAATGGCAGGAGTGGTTTTCCAACTGTCTACCATGCAGAAACTTTTTCTACCTTTTATTTGGCTACCCCTGCATATATGCTCTGTAAGCCCATGGCCTTGCAAAGAAAGGGGGGTCCAGGGCACGTTCTAGGGTGCACTTCCAATTCAACAGTGAACTGAGAGTGCACCCTAGACAACACCCAGCTCCGCACTGTAATTGTGGGCAAGCTGAAGTTGGCCCTCTTGTTATAGGCCTTCCCCCTGAAAAACTCATGACAGCCTTCTGGGGAACAGGGTTTCCTAAAATAAAAGTTGAAAAAGTACCATGCTGGCAGGTTATGTTGCAAAGGTTTAAAAATAAGAAAGTTCAATCCACTGTGTTTGTTTGTTTGTTTGTTTGTTTGTTTGTTTGTTTGTTTGTTTTTGTTTGTTTGTTTGTTTGTTTGTTTGTTTGTTTTAAAAATCATGCATTAATATGTTGTTGTTTTTCCTACCTTAATCCTATGAGCCAGTGCACTGGGAAATAAATGTTTAGGATGGGTGGAGTGCAATAACTGCTGTGCCAGCAGTTTGCTTTCCACAAACAATGATCCTGCATGAAGTGCTAGGAGGCTGCAACAGCAAAAGGGTGTGTTACTTGCCTCCAGCGTCAAGATTGCTAGTGCACAGCACAGGTATCAGAGACAAGGCAGGTGTAGCACTGGATCTTCTTTATCTTTGTGGCTGCCCAGAAGGCCTCCCTCCTCCAGAGCCAGCCACACTGGTACAACTGTATGGACTGGTATTAACTTCTTATCATGGAGCAGCAACTGGTAGGTGACACAGCTGCTTGGATTTGCCAAGCATAGGGCAGACATCAGTGCAAGTTACTATACACAGCTGCAGCCGCTCAGAACTTCTAAGTTCAAGTTGTTCAGGCTGTTCACAAACTGCAGGTGAGATAAAACAAATGAATGAGGGGCAAGGGACGAGCGGTTGCCTGCAGAGTTCTCCAAAATATGGAAGAAACAAAAACTGCAAATGTTTTTCCCCCGTGTTAGTATTTCACAGCGTGCTCTCTCCCCACCCTAGCCTTTCAAATGCAGTAAAATGATTTTAGATGCCCATTCCAAACTCAGTTTAACAAAACAACAACAGAGTGGGGTTTTTTAATAATGATTTAAAAATCAAATGAAGTCATGTTTATCTTTTTCAAAGAAAAGGAAGTGCCAATATACTATATCAAAACACATATTTGAAGGAGCTTTGGATCAGGCGTCACTTCCTCCTTTTTCTTTCTGATGTGCATCTGCAGGTAATTTTGTTTGCATTATATGTAGAAAATCACAGTTCTTGTTGCATCCCCCCCAAGGATGAACAAACACACACGCACGCACACACACATATATATAATCATAATTTGTGAACACTGTACACTAAATATTTCTTTTCAACAGCATGACAGGCATTGGGCTTATGGCAGCATGTGTGAATAATGTGCAGGGTCTGAAATCTAGGGGGTGCCATATAAGCAGCCTCAGACACAAGACAGGTTGACTGCACCTTCCCACAAGGTAAACTTAAAAGTATGTCATTTCAGAGTAATGGGGCAGTTAGTATTTTGAGGCTTATGATGCTGGAGTTACCCTAAGTCCAACTCACACAAAACGACGCAGCCACTTTGGTGGCAAACCTCCTGAACACCAACACTGTTCAAATTAAAAGGGGGGAAAAGTTGTTGTTGTTTTTCAACCTGTCTTTCTTTATTACCTATATATTTGATAACAACACTTTGAATTCAATGTACTTCTAAAAGCTTGTTTTCTGTGAAGAATCCAACCTTTAGGCTTCTCTTCCCTTTAAAATTCTCTCTATTACTTTTAGACTTTCCCCAGGGCAAGAGGGAGAGAGGAAACACCTCTGCTTTCTCAATGCAGAGAAGCCACCTAGAAGCCTCAGGACCTCACTGCACCCGCTCAGTGAAATTCTCTGGGAAAACTCCTCGGCATTGGTCAAGTTCTTTGTGCTGAAGCCAATCGGATTCTTTCACACCCATCAGCCATCCTTCATCCTGCCAGGGAGAGAAAGGTAGACAAAAGGTTTGTACAGAGTGAAAGACAAGCAGGAGGGCAGCCTAGGACTCTTAGGCCACTGATCACAACCTTGAGCAAACAAGGCAATCAGTTATTTATTGGTGATAAATTTGTTATCATCTATTATTGTGGTTTTGAAGAATCTGTGCTGCTTTTGCATACATTTGAGCTTTCACAGAACTTTTCACATTTTCCTCCTCATGGGTATATATACCTGTCAGCTGAGGACAACACTCCATGCGTCTGAAGAAGTGAACTCTAGGTCACGAAAGGTAACAGCACAATACATTTGCTAGTCTTTAGGGCGCTATAAGATTCTGTTATTGTTTCTGGATACACTGGGTTGTATCCAATGCTGTGCAAGCAGAGTTCCGCTTATGCAACAGGACTTCCTCTTCCCTCTAGGAGCACCCAAAATCTGCTCTGGAGGTTCCCACAATTCTCTGGAGTAGATTCAATGATGCACAAGGAGTATTCAAGCAGAAGTCTGTTGCGTGAGCAGAACAGCAGAGCTTAATATGACCTATTATGTTTCCTAAGCTCCATTGATTTTGGTTTTTTGCCTGTCTTGAAATTTGCATTTGACAAATTCAAGCCTTATCTGAAGATGAAGGTACTTAGCTGCACATGTAAGGTCCTGCCCACCTGTCAACGTTGACCCACAGAGGATGGGGAAAATAGGGATCCAGCCTGCTGCCTGAATCTAGTTCCCCATTCCTGCTCTAAAGTCACTTAGGAGCTAATTACAATAAAGAAGAGAAGACATTTTTAAAGGTGCTATTTGCTAAGAAGAGATATTCCTAATCCGTTTAGGAAGAGAGCTTGTCTATGGACCAAATAAAACACACACACACTCTCTCTCTCAACACTATGGCATCTCCTAGGAAGCTGTTATTGTGAAAAACTGAATATGATTACATCTTGGTCATTTCCACTCATGAGGTACACAGTGGCTCTTGCATCAAGAGTATCTAAAGGCTATTGAGGCCTTGCATAAGAAAATGTCCATTGTTTGCATAAGACACTCAGGAAACAGGACTGAATGCTTCCGGTTTCTAGAGTGCTCTGATCTGCTAGTGATGGTGACACACAAGAGGCACATAGGGTTGCGAGGGATTGAGGACCCACTACTATTTCTGCTGCAGGGTCCCACTCTCCAGCACCCAGAAGCCACCCAATCACAACATGATTTAGCCACTGAGAAGTCTTCTCATCTTTTGTGCTGATTGGAGCCAATCAGAGGAGAGGTTTGAAAAGTAAAGAAGAGGTGCCTTTGTAAGGAGCTAGCAGGGCCTTTCAGACAGCTTTGTAGGCTTCAGCTGGTTTGTGGGCGGCAGGTTGGCCACCCCTGCTCTATACTAATCATTTCAAAGAATCAAGCAGACAGTTACTTCAGAGATTCTGGTTTTGCAAGACATCATCTCCATTTATCTGCTGGCTGCTTGAAGCTGACACACACAGGAGAACGGGGTTTTCAAACAATGTCTTTCCGGTTCAGATCCAGTGTTCTACATACTATATGACACTGGTGTGTGAAGCAAAAAAAGATGATGATAAATCCCACATGCTCTCCTTACCTGCTCGTCCGGGTTGTCAAACGGAATCACCAGGACAACATCTCCAGCCTTCAGTTGTAGCTCATCACTGTCAGTGGCTGCATAGTCATGCATGGCTTGTGCCTGCAAAGAAATAATGACTCCAGTGAAGGGAGAGAGCTTGGTCCATTTCATGAAGAAGGGGTGATGCATACAACTCCTGCCCACTTTTACCCAAACCGACAAGTGAGAACATGATTATCTATCCGCTATCCCACCTCCTCTTGTCCTGCAAAGTTATTGTTTTGTTTGCTAATATGTTATGTATTTCTGTGTTTTTATATTGTAAGCCCCACTGTGATCCTTAAACGAATGACATTATAGACATTTAATAAATAAAAATAAAATAAATTTGACCCAGAGAAGCTCTATGGTAGGATGATTTTCTCCGAAGGGTGTAAAAGGAGGGGAGACACAATTGGTTGTTTTCTTTTGGTTATTTCACCAAATAAGTTAGAAAAAGAGATGCCTGGGACAGTACTTTGAATTATAAGGGGACAGAAATGGTCCAGCTCATGTATCTTTTGTGACAGTCCTCTATGCTACTATGAAGGCTATGTTTTTGGCTAACATAAACAACAGATCCTAACTTGTCGGAAGCCACCCATACTATGAGTAGCAGCATGCACAAGGTTTCTCGATGCACTAAATGATGCTTGATCCTGTCTCTTCCCTTTGGCTTGCCCTTACTCTTCACTTAACTGACAAGGAAACACAAATTCATTTTAATGGACATTGGTGTGGAATGTGTGCCCGGCTGAGGTAAATGTTCTTCCTCACACTCACCTTAAACAGGAAACCTGGTGGCATGTCAGCCCTTTCAGAAGCGGCTCCACTTTCAACTGTTCCATTGACTGTGGCTGGGAAGGTCTCCACAACTACAGCAGGCAGAGAGCTCTAAGCATAGCAGTGAAGGGAGGCAAAGAAAACACAACAAGGAACACTTGAAACAAGACACTTGGCAAAATGAGACCCCACTGCACTAAACTGGTTCACCCCATTATTCAGAAATTCAACGCCAATGTATTGTGTGTTTTTCCTCCACCACATGGATGTTACAATTTATGGCCCAGAGTAGCCATTAAGGTGAAGAGAATGACTCATGACAAGATGGGAATTTTAAAAAGGGAATCACAGACAGTGGCAAATATTAGAGGGAAAATCAGGGTGGTATAAAGATTATGGAACACACAGCAGGTGTCTGTCACAAGGGTGAGAGGAGATATAGGTTCATAGTAAGAGGCAGAAGTTCTTCTAAAAAATTTTTTTCCTTTCCTTGATCTGAAATTGCTACCTGTCTTCTTCTTGGTGGCCTCTGACCTCTACGTCCTCAGCATCATTTTCATGCACAAGAACTAACAACTCAGTGACCTTGTAAGAGCAACAAATTTGATGCCTCTGGCCAAATTTCTTAGCAGAGGCAGACATGGTGAGAAAGTGGAATCAAAACTTAGGGAGGGGAAATGAGAAAGGGTTCTGTGCTTTTAGCCTTCATGGTTTGCCTGGAGGGATCTGTCAGAGCAACAAAGGCTGTTGGATGACATGAAAGAGCCAGGGTGGTGATTAACTGGGACTGGGGAGAACAGTGGAGATATTCTTTCTGACTCAGACCACTTGCAACTGCTGCTGCTACATGCTTAGCTGTTTGCATCAAAGGGGACATTTTTCTTCTGGAAGACCACCTGCAGATAATTAAAGGGCTTTGTTCAACAGTCACAACCCAGCAAATTGGGCCCCTCCATCAAGGATTCTGTACTACTTGAAGAACAGCAGCTACAACAGTGTCGCTTTGACGGGCTC